TGCAATTCTTCGTCTTTCGGACGATTTGGGTAGTGCCAATGTATGATAATCCATACATGTACATTTACTAAACTAATTAATAGCTAATAATAACGAATGATTAATTAATTAATTAAAAGGACGAGCACAAAACAGGAAAGATGGCTCGTACATAGAGTACTACATGAGAGATAACGATGGTTTATCGTTCAAGCAAGCGCGTGAGCATGTAATAAACATGATAGCAAGTGAGTGGAAGCTTCTTAACAAGGAGTGTTTCGATGTAAATCACTACTCCCCAACATTGTCGTTTTATCGAGAAGCTTGTCTTAATCTTGCAAGGATGGTGCCCCTCATGTATAGCTACGACGACAATCAGAGACTTCCGATTCTCGAGGAATATGTCGATTTAATGTTGTTAAATCCATAGTCATCGGAGCACCATTGAACAAATAAAGCACTAGCTAACTCGAGAGCAACTTGTGTTTGGGCATATGCATATATAAAGTGGTTTTTTGTATGTATAATATAACTTAATAAGCAAAGATATGTAATCATAAAACCATGATTGAAAATTGAAAAAGAGACGAAAAAAAAAAATTAAAATTGAAATTGGGATCTTATAGCTTGTCGAACGGAATTTCATTCACAAAATGTAATGAACGCCCAATAGAAATCGAGATCGAATGTGAAATTCGAGAAAAAAAATCATAAGAGCAAAATCGAGGGAAGAATATGTAGAATAATTTGAAGCTATAAATAGGGAAAGTTTAATTCATGGATTAAAGTTTTTGAAATATTAAATGTCGTTTCAATTTACTAATACCGTTTTGACTCGGAACGTAATTTGGACCATTTTTTGTCTGATTTATTGTATTTTGGATGCAAGGTGCTATTAATTTTTTTTTCAGGGGTGTAAAGTACAAAAATGTTACATTTGAAGGGTGCGAAGGCAATTCCAAAGCATATTCCCTTTTACACTGGATAATTAATTCCTTTCAAATTGGGCTTCAAACCTACTAGCTAATGGGCCTATCGATTTCCATATTATTCTGTCTATCTCAATTCGTACTTTAATTGCAAAAAATATTAGAATTTTATTGCATGCAGTTTATTATTTTAGTATTGAAGAGATTTTTCAGTACCATATGTTTGATGAAGTAATGAGTTTTCTTCCATGGCGAATAATTTGTAAGAATTATGAAAAATGAAATTTACAATGTTAAATATATGTAAATAAAAAATTAATTATTTACAATAATGAAATGTCATTTGGTCTGGGGCTCTGATACCATATTGAATGACCATCTCGACCACAAATTTAAGCAATTAGTTAAATGTATCATTTAAGTGGTGTTTGCAAAAGTTTGTTGAAAAACAGAAGTTAGTGATTGCGAGTTAAGTGGGTATTAAGTGTTTATTTCTAAAAGTTGGGGATGTTTGGAAAATGCTAGAAAATCAATTTAAATAGAAAAGCAGATGTAGTGATGCTTCTGAAAAAATAACTTAAAGCAACTTATTTTTAAAAAGGTAAAAGCATGAGCTGATTATACAAACACCTAACAACAGATTACTAGCTATAAAAAGCTCAAAATTTATTTTTAAAAACTTTTGCAAACACCACCTTAATTTTAATATTTCCAGTAGTATTTCATACATTTTGACGCTATCATTTGTACAATGTGAAAAAATTATTCGTCGAAGCATCACATTCGACACTCTGTTTTTTTTTTTTTTTTTTTTTTTTTCTTTTGTACTATGTAAATAATAATTGAAAAAAAAAGAAATTATTTGTGAAGCATCACATTCGAGACTTTTCTTTTTTATTTGTACTATGTAAACAATAATTGAAGAAAAACAAATCACTAGTTGAAGGATACATTTGACACATTTTTGTTGAAGGATTATATTTGACACGTTTTTTTTTTCCCCTGATAAAATACTGCAAAATTGTCATTATGACTAAGAGTTTTTAGTTGATTGCAAACTCAAACTTAATTTTATTTTTGCTTCTCTTAAAATAAGTTGTTTTAAGCTATTTTTTAAAAGCACTTCTACATCTGCTTTTTCTATTTAAATTTATCTCCAGTGTATGTATTGAATAAGATTTTGCAGACACCACCTTAGCACAACTTTTACAACATTCATTGTCCTAAAAAGAACTCGAACCTCTAACAAACATGGCTCTAATATGCAATCTGACACGTCGTACTTCAATTTTTCTTAATAAATTTGCATATCCCGGAAAGAAGAAACCATGTCGTCCGATTGCCTATGGAGCTACCGCTCGTAAAATGGAGCATAAACTCGGAACCCTCGGAATATCAAAATTTGCGGGTTAAGTCGTTTATTATCCACTCAATTTGAAGTTCATATTACTAATCTAATACCTCTTCTTTTTTTCCTTTTTGTGCAGGTTGATCATAAGTTTCCCATCAACTACGAAAAACAAACTAGAGGAACTACGAAACTTACTCATGAAGCCGACAGTCAAAGAAGAAGATCTGATAGAAAGATTGATCTTGGTTGATGCGATCGAGCTCGCATAGCCCTTTTTGCCTTTAACTAATTTTCACAGGGATTATATGCTAATCTTTTAATGCACGGGTATTTTCAGCAATTCAAAATTATACAGGGTTAGTTTTTGAAAGATTTGGCCCTACACGTTAGGTAGGACCGCCTATTCTTATGTCACACATTATTTGATTTATTATTAATGTTTTGAAAATCGGACTGGACCGGCTGGTCCAACCGGTTTAATCGGGAACCGATAGCTAGTCCGGTCCAATCTAGACACGGCAACGGGCCGGTTCCGGGCCGGTTCAAACCGGTTCACGGTTCACATTTTTCGGAACCAAAACCGGCCCGTAGTATGGGCGGTTCAGCGGGCCGGGTCGGCCCGCCGGTTCGGGGCGGTTCCGGGTCGGCCCGTAAATTTTGATTTTTTTTTTTTTTTTGAAATATTTTATGAATAAGTAAATTGAAAGAAGTACTTTTAAATAGAAAAAAGGAAAAGGAAATAAATGAAAAGACTTGAACTTAATTTTAAATTCAAAATTTTAAAGATTTCGATTTTAAAAAGATTTTTTGGATATTTTATGAATAAGTAAATTAAAAGAAGTACTTTTAAATAAAAAAAAAAAGGAAAAGGACCATAAACTTGCGGAGGAACAATTGGGTTGGGGTGT